CTCTTTAATATGTTCCGCACTAGAGGAGCTAAGTATCTTGTTCTCACCATTAATGGGTTCTGAAAGTTCTATTTATTTCCGGAGCCATTTAGCAATGTGCTATTAATAGAGTTGTAGAATGTGGCGTAGGAAAATGGACGAGTCAATTCAGGGTTATAAAGAGTATCAGGTGAGGGGCTAGTTCAAAGTAGTATGTACTGAAGGGGCAGATAGTAAGACTGCAATGAGAGGTTCATAATGAAATGCCTCCACCTGTTTCATTTTACACATTCGTTATTTCATTATGAAACTCTCATTGCAATCTTACTATCTCCAGTTTAACTCAGACCACTTTGTACTAGCCACTCCACACACCTGACACATTTTATAACCATGAACTGACTTGTCAATCTTCCTACCCACATTCTACAAATCTATTATGACTAATCTCCACCACTGTCTCCCATTTTACAATATTTTGTAATCGATTTCAGCCAAGCACTTTTGTCACACTCAAATACGACTATTCATTTTGACACCCGATAACTACTAATCTGTTATTCTACGTAAAACAAAATGTATCCGCCGCATAACTGGCTATGCTTATTTTAACGACAACAAATACGTTATATTTTATAATTGTTAGAACCTGAAGAGAAGGATGTATTGAAAAGAATATTCTTCGTTCAGACTGACTTTTAATGATGATAATAAAGTTCTATTCCAGATAATATGTGAACACATCGTTTCAAAATATTTACTCTTCATACAAGATTTTCATGTAATGTGATATTCCGACGCATACCACGTGACGTCGCGTTGTTCCATGCGAAGGCACAACCAATTCTGTAAGTTTTCGCTTCATTTACTCAAAGATTCGTATAGCATTTTTAGTTGGAAGTTAATTAAATATGCGCGCTAGTTCATGTAGTGATCATTTGATATAATTACATGACTTAAACAATGAAAAGTGCTGAAGATTTTAAGCATATTATTACACAGAAATTCTAGTAGCGCAGGTTTGACCAGGCTACTAATTTCTTTTTGACTAAACCATATATGACTAAATACCTAGATTTTAACATGTCTGATTTAAACTTATGCACGATAGTTTGAACTCTCCTCACCAAGATTAATATTTAATTAGCATTTTCGATTTACACTTATCCTAAAAACATTCATAGTATATTGGATAAAATAATGATAATAATGTTAGTTTAGAAAACATTTTAAAGAGTAGAGGGAAGGGAAACGACATCATAAAGATAAAATAACAGTATGCTACCATGGTAGATTTAAGCTAACTACCGTCTCCGTTTGTATTTAGACATCCTGCTTCTTCAATCTTATTGTATAGGCTTCAACAAAACCAAGAGCTATAATATTACCGCGTTTATTATTAACTATAAAGCTTTTACTCAACGTTACCAATTATTTTCTTATGATCAGTTGTCTATCGAATTCGATTAAGTCAACTCTATGCTGGCATTCTTTCGAAATTTTTTTATCTATTCTTGATAGGCATCAGTATTTGATGAATGTTCCCTTGGTAGCTTCTAAAAATTAGCTGATCTCAAATTCCAGGATTACTATAAACCTCGCCTACACGCTAAAACTGACAATTCTTATTGATCTACAGCGCCACATGATGGAGAACTATATATATATATATATATATATATATATACATATCAGTGTAGAGTCCATTACGGAGAACTACTCGAACAGGAATACACTTTTTCTGTCAATTTTTCGTTTCCCTAAATGTGTAAATCTGTACGACCGATAAGTTAAATTGCCAACACTTATTCCCCTTCATGAATCTGAATAAAGCAAGAACAATGGTGGTTTGTGCAGGATAAGACGGAACCATCAGTATTTATTTCATTGGCTCTTTATAAGCTGACTACAGACTAAAGAAATTACTAGGTTTATATACAGAAACAATTTAAACATATTTGCAAATATCACATAATTGTAGTTGACAGGAGACTGCAAAAATCAGTACACAGTGCTCAGAAATTACTCTTATACAATTAATATCCAACATATTCAAGTTTAAGCAAAAAATAAAGTCTTGGATATAATGGCACAAAGAGTTATGTAATAACCACAAAAGATAAAAGTCACTTAGCAGCCTGCTTGTTGTGTCGGTGGTCCAGCGATAGATCCCTGGCTGACCACACATGTGGTCCGGGATTCGAGTGCCGGCCGGCGCACAACTTTACCTCCTTTAACCGGTCACGATCCCGACGGAAGGTCGGGCGTGAGGCTAGCTATCCCACCCACCCTGTAAAAAAATATTGTTACTCAAACTTTAAGCTTCTAGCTTAAAGCCCTATGTTCCACTGGGAACGCAAAATAACAGAAAAAATGGTCTGCTTAAAACATTGGGCTACTAGAATTTCTATCCATTAAAATACCTAAACCCTTCAGCGCTTCTTATTTTTTAAATCAAATGATCACTACATGAACTAGCGCAAATATTTAATTAATTTCCAACTATAAACGCTGCACAGTTCTTTGAGGAAATGACGCGACAACTTATTGAATTGGATATGTCTTCGCATGGAACAACGCGACGTCAAATGGTATCCTTCAGATTGTCAATTTACATATAAATGTTGTACGAAGAGCAAATATATTGAAACTAAATATGCTAAAGATATCAGTAGCATGTGTTTTCACATATTTTGTAAGACATAGCTTTATTATTATCGATGTTGTTAAAAGATGATGGGCAACTAATAAATTGAGTAGAAATGTGGTGCATTCAAATTAAATCATAGAAACATGAAACAAAGAAGATTACACCATATGAATGAGAGTATAGATTAAAGCCGGACAACACGTAAGAAATTCAAGCAGGGAAAGATTGATAACTGCTTTTTTCTGAATACATTAATTAGGTTTCAGCTTATATATAGAATGTTTCGTGATATTCAAATGATGACGCCTCTTAGTGAATTGTCCAGCATTGGCACTTTTGGCAAATGTTCAGAAAATCCAACGTATGTCCTTCTTTCTGTTCGACAACTATTTAGAATCAGGTATTTTCCTGGTTCACCCTGAGTCATAAATTATAACACTGTCATTGAAGCAGGATAGATAAAACGCCTAAAATATTATACTAATGATTACATGGGTCATTAAGATTTCAAACGTAACACTCTGAGTTAAGTGATTAGGTACAAACAATAATATGATTGGACTGTTGGAATAAAGAATGGCGTTCAACTTCTAGTAACTCACTCCGTTTTGCTAGGCGACATAAAGTCCGGAAAGAGAAGGTTAGTTGGACATGAGGTTAGCAGCCTCACTCTGTGAAAACAAAACTACACCTTGTACTTGAGACGCGGTGGAATAAGTCAACAAAGAATCACACGAGTATTTCTGCGTCAAACGCATTCTGCAGTCCAAAGGAATATGTATGAGTGAGAGGATGTACTAAAATACTTGTATACTCACTTGTGTACCATAACATGGCTTCCCTAAATAAGTTAATTACCGTCTTATTATATTTTCGTACAACTACAGAATCAAGACTGAGATATGGAAATATGTTTATTCTCTGTCTGAAGAAGAAATACTTTATAACTTTCAAGACTTTCAAGTAAAAATAAGATTTCGCGATGTAACGGAGAGAATTTCTAAGCATCAAAATTAAGCCACCCATCTTACAGAATGGCGAATAAATCAAATTTGAGTATGACTATATTTTGGAATTCCAATCAGCTTGATCAAATAGTAATGCATTATAATCGAACAAGGCATAGAATGGCAATCAAACGGTTACCTCAACTTCATCGAATTAGAAAAGGCCTTCATCAGATAGCGTTGATCGAGAAGTAATTTAGAAACTATCTCAACACTATGGCGTGCCTCATGTCTTTGTCAACTCCATTCAACAGCTACATGACGATGACACGTGTCAAGTGATCCACAACGGAAAACTCAGCAAGGCGTTTCAAGTCCAGAAGGGTGTAAGACAAGCTGCCTGTTTATTATCACAGATGACATTTTTAATTGTGGTGGACTGCATTATGCGTCACACTGTGTGTTGGGGGCGAGGAGTTAGGAATACGGTGGGTGACCGATAAGAAGGCACTGGAAGATATGGATTTCGCGTGCGGCTGATGTCACACAAACTCGAAGACTTGCAGGCAGGCAAAACTGGCTGAAGAGGCAGACAGAGAAATCGGGACTCCAGGCAGACACAAAGAAGTGGGAGGTGGTGAAGATAACCAATCAACAGCAACAGTAACAACGACCAGCACAAATCACCATCAACAGGAGGGATTTAAGAGGGGTTGCCTCTTTCACTTATCTGGGAAGCATCGTTTCAACTACAGGCAATTAAAACGGACGAAGATGTCAAAATCGGTCAGAATCGAAAAGGAAAAACACGCCTTTATCAACCTGAAACCAATTTAGAAATCTTCTGCACTCAGGATAGGGAACAAGTTTCGGATTTTCAACACCAATGTGAAGTCGGTCAGTGCTTCTAAACGGGTCAAAAACTTGACTGGCTTCATACTGAAGATCAAATGGCAGGCCAGAAAAAATGAGCTACAAGAAACTATGGGAACAAACCGATCGGTCAACAAATATGTCAGAGAAAGTGGAGATGGATTGGGCATACATTTCAGAGGCTGTCGAGTGCCATCGAAGGCATTGAAGGTCATTGCTCGAGTGGAATCCGAAAGAAAGCGAAAAGTTGATGGTCAGTGCGAGGTTGACATGAAGGAAGTCGTATGAGGATTAGATGCGAGGGTTCGGTTAATCAGCTCAAGAGGACGGCAGGAAACAGAACAAAGTGGAGATGTGGTATTGTTGAAGCGAGCTCTATGTTCCCCACGAAACTCAAAGGAATAATAATAACAATCGGCCTAAATATTTTCTTTTAAAGGAAATGCCCAGTATAAGAGACCAGGCACCACAACTCAATGTATCTGAATAAACGAGCATGCATATATACACATTCGATTATGAAGAGATACTTTAAGAAATCGATGACTTACTTGTAAATGTCGATCAGTTAGTATTGCCACAACAACAAACATATTTCCAATAACTGTACAAATAATAATTGCACCGAGTATAATTGCTGTGAAATAAATATGCCAAATTCCATACAATGGTACAAATGTTACATAACTTAAATTGTCTTTCTGCATTATCTACATTAATTAATTAAACGGATAAACTAGATAATAAATTAATCATTTTGATTTATTCTGGAATAATGATAATAGAAATAATCATCGTGGAATTTAAAAGACGCGCGTACATGTATTATTTTGCATCCAGTGATATTTTAAAACAAAGAAATTCAAAATTTAAGCATAGGATTGAGACAAATAAGTAATCCATTTCGATGATTTTATAATTGTTTTTATTTCCCTCTCGCGTGTAGACTGAATTCACATATTTTTTTCTAAATTTTATTATTCTTGGCTGTTTCAATAACCAACCTGTTGATGAAAGTTATACCGAGAGTTTGCGTCTTGTTTTGAAGAAAAAAGCCATAAATAAATAAATAAATCCCAACTTAAATTCTAAAATTATTTATTTTGTAAAAATGTGGGAAATAAAACCCAATTCTCTACAGTTAAGATTTAATCGTTTACATGTGTATAAAATCCTGAATTTTGATTGGTAAAGAAGATGACCAATCAGAATGCGACTACAATTAAAATTAATTTAAATGAAATGAAATAATGAAATATTGGGCTAACTATGGATAGGCTACAGGAGGAATCTGCATGTAGTTCTAGTAAGAAGCTGTAAGTAGTGGGGTCGACAAATATTCGCCGATGACTAATTATATATATATATATAATATATATGATGTGTCACACAGTGAAACAGTATTATTTACCGGATGACAAAGTTTCGGACAAATTTATTGTTCATAATCATATCAATTATAATCACATAATTTCGAAACTTGAGTTTTATAGTTTTGTTTATTTTCTCCTATTTGTCGTCGTAGGGGTAGTAGAATTTTCCAGATATCTGGGACGGGTGTTGAATCATTCCTATTACACCTATTCTCTTCAGTTGATTCGATAAACAAAGCTTCTGTTATCAATCTTTTGTACTCGCCACCGTTACATAAGATTTACAAACTGTCATCTTACGCCATCCCGTTCTATTGTGTGAGATTGCATGTGGTGAGTGGTATAGCTCAACTATTCTCTAGATTTCTTATCTTATTCGGTCAACCAATCTATATTTTGCTATGTTTTTATGCTCAGCTACTCTGACTGCCCTTGTTCTACTACTTTGACCTATGTATTCCACCTGACAGTCATCGCACGCGGGGTATCAGATAAATTAAATTGGTTTGTTTCAATAGCTCCACAGGATTCTCTAACCGACAAAGCTTGTTTCTAATTGAGTTTGTTGGTATGTTAGCCAGCCACTTTTATTCCTGCCTCGTTAAGAATTCTTCGTAAGGTTTCCAGGGTCCCTTCTTTGCATGGAGGTTCTACTGATGATTTAGATTCCTTATTGTTAGTGTTGTCTTGCGCATATTTGACATACATGTCGTTATTAATATTACTATTATTATCACTATCACTATTATCACTATTTATTTTATTTTTACATTTCCCTGCATACTTTCTGATCAATTTATCAGGGTAATCATTAAGTTTTAGAGCCTCTCTTATATGCCTCACTTCCCGTCCTACATTTTCCCTGGTATTACTAGTTCTTGTGCCCTATTACTTAAACATTTCACCAGTCAGATTTTCGCTGACATATAGTGGAATGATCAGAAATCCAATTATTTGTTTGGATGTGTGGGTTTCTTGTAAACACTAGTGTGTTTAACTTCCTATCTTCTTTCCTTTTTCGTTGCAATCTAACACTGGATGCTCCCCTTCCTGACTTTCCAATTCATAAGTGAATTGAATTGCCTTTACCGTCGAGTTGATGTCTTCAAAAAATCTATCTATATCTTGTGTTCTAAGTACAGTGAATGTGTCATCTACAAAAACCACCATTCTTCTGAGGTGGGGATGAACGCTTCACTTGCGATGTTTTCCTACTTATCCATGAATATATCTGCCACAACCGGGGATATCGGTGACCCCATGGTAACTCCCCCAGTTTTTTTGTATATTTTCCCCTGAAATTTATGTACTGTGAAAGTCAGGTATAGCTGCACTTCCAGCATTGTGTCTTTGAATGGCTTTTTTTTTCTAAGTTCAACTTATTGGTCAGAAATGAGTTCGTTTCTGACTGCCTCCATAGCCATATCTATTGGTTTACGTGTATAAAAACTGATAATGTCAAAACTAACCATTTTTCCTTCATTATATAATTTTAATTTATCTAATCTATGTTTTAGTTCATAAGAATTCGTTAGTCTAGATCTTTAGTGGCTTTTAAAAGGATTATATATAGATATTTTTTTCCTTCACGTTCCCAGTGGAACATAGGGCTTCAAGCTAGTGGCTTGGAGTTTCTATAACAGTGTTTATTTTACAGTATGGGGTTGCTAGCCTCATACTCAACCCTTTCTTCTTACCAGCATTATTTCTGGTTCAGCGAGGTAAAGGAGTGCGCCGGCCGGGGATCGAACCCCGGACCATGTGCATAGTCGGCGAGCGTCCTAACAGCTATACCACCGACGCACTATATATATATATATATATATAAACACACAAACGTAAGGAAAACTTAAACTCAATTCAAAACACCAAGTAAATATGAGTCAACACATGCTGATGTGAAAAACAGCTTGAGTGTAATTTTTATAGGTATCAGCGCTTCTATATTAATTAGGTTAACTTGTCCAAACAGGTCACAAAACCAGCATTGAGGAGACTTTCTCTACCACCTGTCGCAAAATCGAATAAACTGGCAAAAGTCTCCAACCCGCAGTGGTTATTGGAATTCGCCTAAGACAAACTGGAACACCAGCCACTGGTGCTTCACTGGCCTACTGTAGAATCTATGAATTCATAAATTCTGTATTATCTTCCCAATTTATGTGATATTCGCTTTTGTGTTATATTTTTACGCATGTAATGACTTAAAGATTCGTTTGAACAATAGTCTACTGACATTATTGAATTAACCTCATTTAATAGTAATAATAATTATAATTTCATACATTTATTCCCCTTAATGAATTTGAACAAAGCAAGAACTATAGTTTTAGCAGAATAAAATGGTACCATCTTTCATTTCGTTGCCTTCTCGTCACCTGCTTACAGGCCAAAGACATTCATTATTAAATATATCTAGAACAACAATTTTGACATACTTGCACAGAGTTCATTTCAAAGAAAAATCAATCGATCAATATACGCATACACTAAAAATATATACATATATAAATATGCAATACTAAACACTATTCCGAACAATAATAATCATACGCAATGGAAACGTTTAGCGTTTCGCATTCGGAAGAAAGAGAGGTGAAAATATCCAGTTCCCAGGGCAAAGAAAGACTGATAACTGCTTCTTTCTGGACGCATAAATCAAGTTTCAGGCGCTTGATGGAAATGGCTTCAGCAAACTTAAGGAGATTTGAGCTCTTTTGCCTATTGATAATTTTCAATGATTTTTCGATGTCCACCTCATGATCTGTGTCGAGAAGATGCCTGGCAATGGCACTGTTCAAAAGCATTTGTTTCCTTTAAACGTAAGCTTTTTGGTTCATGTTCAGAAAATCGTAGATATGCCCTTCTTTCTGTCCTTCCAATGTAACTGCTCCCGCAGATACATTAAAATTTGTATATACAGTTGGAGGTAACAGTGCCATCGCCAGGCATCTTCTCGACACAGATCATGAGGTGGACGTCGAAAAGTCATTCAAAATTGTCAATAGGCAAAAGAGCTCAAATCTCCTTAAGTTTGCTGAAGCCATTTCCATCAAGCGCCTGAAACTTGATTTATGCGTCCAGAAAGAAGCAGTTATCAGTCTTTCTTTGCCCTGGGAACTGGATATTTTCACCTCTCTTTCTTCCGAATGCGAAACGCTAAACGTTTCCATTGCTTATGTTTATTATTGTTCGGAATAGTGTTTAGTATTGCATATTTATATATGTATATATTTTTAGTGTATGCGTATATTGATCGATTGATTTTTGTTTAAAATGAACTCTGTGCAAGTATGTCAAAATTGTTGTTGTAGATATATTTAATAATGTCTTTGCCATGTAAGCAGCAGGTGACGAGAAGGCAACGAAATAAAAGATGGTACCATTTTATTCTGCTAAAACTGTAGTTCTTGCATTGTTCAAATAATAATAATAATGGTAATAATAAAGTTAATAATATAATAATAATCACTTTATTCCACAACTTAATTATGCATAATAAGTGTATACAATTTTCTTAGTTTTCAGCGCACTTTACTGCCTCATATTTAGTCTTTATCCAGGAGTTTCAAGTGAAACAGCCATCTCCAGCACATGATTGGTTTGACTGAGATAAAGTAAGGATAAACTGTAAAAGCCTCACACTGTAAAAGAATGACAGATTTAGAATGAAAAAAATACGAACCGTTCAGTGCTCTCCAGTTTGTAGCGGTTCACTGTTACAGCCCACATGAAAAAATCTAGGGAAATATTGAGGTTTTTCAAAGAAATCTGGAGGACCTCAGGGATGAGGAGAGCAGGCAAATGTTTCACTTCCTCAGATTCCTTTCAAACTTTGAATAATGCTTTCTTGTCTCCAGAAAGCCATCTAGCTAATAGGCAACAGTTTATTATCACTTCACCTTTTCTTATAGAAACAAAGATTTTTAAACAGATTTTCTTGATACACAACAGGGATTCTCAGCAGAGAGGTATCATTATTATCTTGCTGTGAGCCTGAGACATACTATAGTGCCGGTAATTTGAAGTAGTTTTTGTTTATTCAAGATGTTTCTGTGTGTATCTATTTTTTAAAAAAAGAGAGGGAAAGATTGAAAAAAAACTATTTTGATTTGTGTTTTATCTACTCATCATTTGTAAGGTGGGGTTGTTAGCAGCGGCTATGAAATTTAAGCCAATATGCAAGTTTGATGACACAGTGCCTTTCAAGTGCACTTCACTTATATATTATTGACTGTTAAGAGGCACTTTTGTTTGTTTGTTTGTTTTCAAATCAAAATATTTGAGTTGAAACAATTTTGAAAAGGATAATAGTAAAAGTTGTATATCTCAGTTGAAAACAGGAGTGGATGTTTTTTATTGTTGAAGAGGTAGAGGAAGACAAAAAAGGAGGCTATGACGTAAAGTTGCAAAAGATAATGTTAAGAGCATTCAACTGAAAAAAAAATGAAATTTTTAACATGTTAATTTAGTGATTTTTATCTTATGTGTGAATAGCAAAACATTCTTGTCGATGTATGTATAAATCAGCCCTTCAGTGGTAGAACATTCGTCAAACATGCACATGGTCTTGGCTTGATTCCCCCCCGAAGAATTCGTAAGACGCATATCATTTATTAGCTACTAGTGAGCCTGAAAAATGAGGGAAACCTAGGCTTAAGGCCAATATTTCCTTCTATGCTGACGCAGTACCACTGATAATGAAACTTCGAAGGATAGGCGGTCTATGCCTCACTCTTGATGCAAGGA